TCAGGCTGAGGTTCCTGAGCTCACGATATGGATGTCCAATGTTCTTGCTGTTGCAACATTCTTTCGAACATCTCCTCGCAGGACAAAACTACTTCATAAGGTTTGCTTTATGTTATTTTTTGTGCATTTAATTAATATACACTATTTTCCAAATCTTCTTTTTACTGCATGGTTGATTTTGTACGTTGATTATTGATACTGTTTTCTATCATAGTATTTAAATCTGCTCTTTGTTCCATTCAATTTTCTGAATAGGTTGAAGAAAAGTGCCTTTCCTTTCCCAAACATTTTGATGTCAGACTTGCTGAGCACACAAGAAATCTACTGAATGCTGTACTGCATAACTTGGATGCTGCAAGAAGAGTTTGGCAGGATATGGTAGATGGCACAATAGAGAGCAATAGTAAGGAAAAGCAAATGGCTAAAGGCTTCATTGAAAAGTGGTATAAGGGATCAAGACAGGTAGAGTACTCAGTACGGTCAGAGTGTCAGCACACTCAACTGGGCAGCAATTTGTGAAAGAGTGACTAGGCATAAAAATACTTTCAGATTTCAGAATGCTTGTGGGATACGGCAATGGTTGTTACATGCATAATTAATTTCAATTAGAAAATAAACTTTTGAACGCCTTTAGAGTACGATTACAAAGACTTGCTTGTTAAAGTGCTTTGTTTTTTCTTTGTACTCTTTAGGTATGGCTCACAGCTGTCATGTTTGATCTCTGCACAATCTTTGAGACATTACAGAAGTTGTTTCAGAAATCAAACTTGATTCTTCCAGATGTGTTAACAGCAAAAGATTCTGCTACGCAGAACTTGAAGATTATGAATGACATACCAGTTCCAGGTGGGAAAGAGGAGCAGAATTTGGAGTTGCACGATAATGAGCAAGGTAGACCTGTGAGACGAACCAGTACAGCACATCAGTTTGTGACAAGCCAAAACAGGAATAGCAATGCTATAAGGAATGAAATTGTGCAGTCCGCCATCAATTTTCTTGGGCAACGTATGAACACAGAAAATGATGGCACAGTTGAGAGTTTGATGAGTATTCTAGAAGCATCTTCATCTAAGGACTTAATTTTGGCCAGTAGAAATCTTGTTTCTTCGATTCTTGGACCAAGCTGCCTGTCAGATTTTGTCAGTGATGTTTGCAAGTCATGGAACAACCTGGCCAAAATTGAGCATGTTGAGGTGGAAGACACTGGAACTATGTATGCTCTTCGCCTTAGGAAGATGATACAGGCAAGTACTGGTTTACTTAAGAAATTCCAAGCATCTTTTCTTACCCTTGTCCCTCACAGCATGGCAACTGAACGAGTTGTTTCTCATTATAACAATGTGAAGACATCGGGCAGGTCTTCGCTTAATCCTGAGACAATAAATGGTATATTGCATATTTCTCTGAATGGAAAGGGTGCATCCTTTTTTGACCCAAGACCAGTGGTATCAGAGTTCTTAACTTCGAAAGAAAGAAGAAACCGAAAGCCGTGTGAAGAACTGTACAAACAAAGGGAATTTGTGAAACATTTCTTCAAGCAAGAATCCGGATGTCTGTGATTCACAGAAGCATACAGTATATCTTAAATATAACTAGTATGATACTTTTTAAATACAACATTGGTTGGTGAGCATACTTAAACTTGTTGTGTTTGAATCTTAATTTCAAATTATCACAAATTTCACTTTTAAAAATTTCCTTTGAGAACCTGAGATTTCTTTAAAAAGCGTTCTCAGAATGCAGGAAATGCTATTTCAGAGACCAAAATTTTAAAAAATTCCCGATGGCATGTGCTTAAACCCACCTTCGGTGTTCGCGTACTATCCAGGGAAAGGGAAAAAAATGGCCTGGGCCCTTTGGTAGTTTTGCCCCACCACTGAAGAATCCTTAAAAGATGCCCTGATTTTCTCGGCGAATTTTCTACTATAAATCTGAATATAAATCCAACTAAAATATAGGCATTTTCACAAGCTTTCAAATCATCCGCGTTGGGGATGTATGTCGTTAAATTTCGAATTAATATATAAAGCGGTTGAACCTCGTGCCTAAAACTAGAATGTGTATTCCGACGGCAATTTTTACACCCTCGTCTAGGCAACGAATTCTCGCTCAATATTCTAGCTACAATATTATAGCTCATACCAAAATGTAGCTGAATTCACCAGCTATTTGACAATATGTGTAAAATTATTGTAGCTGTAATATTCGCACAGATATAGTCGAATAAAAGTCGTATGTTTATGTTGCATTACAGTAAACTTTCTAATTATAATTCTGGTTTCAAGTTTTGTTTACATTGTGTGATTTCGACCCCGTCGTTTAGACAACGTTTTCTCGCTCAATATTCTAGCTACAATATTCTAACTCGTACCAAAATGTAGCTGAATTCACCAGCTATCTGACAATATGCGTAATATTATTATACCTGTAATATTCGCACAGATATAGTCGAATAAATGTCATATGTTTATGTTGCATTGTGTGATTCGTTGTCTAAACTAAACGGGCTGATCGAGGGTGTTAAAATTACCGTCGGACAATGTAATGTCTGGTTTAGGCACGAGTTTCAACCGCTTATATTAATTCGAAATTTAACGATATTCACCCCCTACCGCAGATGGTTTGAATGCTTGTGAAAATGCCTACATTTTAGTGGGAGCTATATTCCTGTAGCTAGAATATTGAGCGAGAAAACGTTGTAGACAGCGTCAAAATCACACAATGTAAACAAAACTTGAAACCAGAATTATAATTAGAAAGTTTACTGTAATGCAACATAAACATACGACTTTTATTCGACTATATCTGTGCGAGTATTACAGCTACAATAATTTACACATATTGTCAGATAGCTGGTGAATTCAGCTATATTTGGTACGAGCTATAATATTGTAGCTAGAATATTGAGCGAGAATTCGTTGCCTAAACGAGTGTGTAAAAATTGCCGTCGGAATACACATTCTAGTCGAAATATATGTCTGGTTTAACTAAGCACGAGGTTCAACCGCTTTATATATTAATTCGAAATTTAACGACATACACGCGCGTACCCCCAACGCGGATAGTTTGAAAGCTTGAAATGCCTATATTTTAGTTGGATTTATATTCAGGTTTAATAGTAGAAAATTCGCCGAGAATGTTCGCAACAAACTGTTGTTAATATATGCCACGGAAATTCAAAAATATCTATTACATTTTCAAAATCTCGCCTTGCTGCGCATGTAAACACACGCATGATTTGAAGCTTCAAAATATATAGTTATAAACCTTTAAAGACACAGTTGGAACGAAAACTTATTAAAATTGAAACGGCCTATTTTGGAACTAATGATTTTCTTGAAAACCCGCCATTGTCCATTGATTTTGCGTCTTCGTTTCACCGACATCGTATATCAAAATCGAGCTTCAAATCAACAGTAATCAGTATTGATAAATAGTATTCACTATAAAAACTAACCTTCACTGTGTTTCCTCCAGAATATTTAAAAAAATAGAATATAAGCCTTGCACAAAATCCGATTTCTTGAGGTTGTTTATTTTAAAACAACTTAAACATTTGTAGTGATTAGGATAAATACCGATAGGGTATCTACCTAATTTTTCTTGAGCCTGGATGTACGTCTAGCAGCAAAAACTAATTGACTAAACGACTTAAACATTTATAGAAATTTCTTTAAAGTCACCGATATTTGCTTTGTCACTATTTGTCATCGGTCAATCTTATTTAGCTCGCTAATTTGACTATTCAACATGGTTCATACCTGGAGCAATTATTTACTGCAAAGCCTCCGCCTTGCATATAAACTACATGTATTTTAATATTGATTATTACATTCGTAATACCTGTTGTAATACCCTGTTGTAATTTATACCTTGTTGTTATATATTTTTGCGTTGGGATTTCCGTAAAATATATCGCGGGTAAGGCATCAGCACTAGCTCTGTGCATTTCTTATATTATGTTGCATTCATGCTGTTTTCATCCAGAAATCAACACCACCGTAATGGTATTTTACTACGGTGAGAAAAACCCCAACACAATTCTCTATGACCTTGCATATACTAACTAAAATGAAATTACAATGCATTTTCGGCAAGCGGCTGAAACTCCAGCTGGAATTTACCGTGTACTAAGTCTATGAATTGTGTCTCCGAAATAACGAATTATGTTAGGGCATTTTATCCTTTTTGTCCGCATCCAATCGCAAAATCGCAAAAATCTCATCAAGATGGCGGACAGTCGCGCTGAAAGTGCTCTCTCTGGCTTTTTCGCTTTGCTGCTTTTGTCTTTGTTTTTGCAGCAAGTTATACATAGCAGACCATACAAGGATGATCGGAGTCATGTTCTCATGGGTTTGGGATATGATTTCGAGTTTATTGGTGGGCAAAGTGGTGTTTGTTATCATAACTTTGTGTGTATTTGGAGTTGGCGGGTAAAGTCGAAGGTCACAGTTAACGATTGCAACCATCTTTGTGGCTGTTCAATCTCGTATTATCCTAACTCAACAGCAAAATTTCGTCCTGTGCTTTTGTTGAAATACGATATCGAAATCAATCCTGGACCTGGCACACAAAATTCAACGAATATCTTGCAACACAAGCTGAAAGTTCTCTCCCTCAATTCTCGAAGCATAGTAAACAAAGCAAATCATTTAACTGCCCTGGAAAGTGTCAATGAACATGATTTGATTGCTATTGTTGAGACATGGCTTAATCCTACAATTAACGACGCTGAAATATTATCTCCAAGTGACTTCTGTATTCATCGTCGAGATAGGACTGACAGACGGGGTGGTGGTGTTATGTTGGCAGTCCGGAAGCCATTGTATTCGACACGAAGAACTGATCTAGAGACTGACGCTGAAATCCTGGCTTGCGAGGTGAGACCGACTCAAAAGAAAAAAATCTTAGTACTTGTTTTCTATCGCCCGCCTTCAACAAATCATGTCTATATGAATGCGTTCAACAAGTGTTTAAAAAATGCAAGAGTGGCCCGTTTTACTCAAATTGTTGTACTGGGTGATTTTAATTTGCCAGATATGAATTGGAATACAAATTCAAGTACTAATAATGGAACTGGTCAACTTTATGACAACTTTACTAAAGCTATTCGGGATAATTTCCTATGGCAATTGGTCGACCAACCAACTAGGAAGGAACATATTTTAGATCTTGTTCTCACAAATATACCCCACAAGATAAGTAACTTAGAAATATTCGACGACACCATAAGTACAGACCATAAATTGATTGAGTTTTATTTGGACTTTAATATCCCTAAACGGAATAAGATTAGCAAAAGTGTTTTTAATTTCAAAAAAGCAAAATGGAATGAACTTAAAATTGCGTTAACATCTGCCTCTTGGGATCAAGTGTTTGTTTACGACTGTGTCAATGCTACCTTGTCAAGTTGGACAAAAATGTTTATGGAAATTGTGGAAAAGTATGTTCTTAAAATTGAAATTAGGAACTCAAATAGCACTCCATGGATTGACCAGGATGTAATTCGTCTTCTTCGAAAGAAGGACAAACAAAGGCGTATCGCAAACAAAAGCTTTGACAACGAGGATGTAAATAAGTATAAGCAATTGCGTAAAGAAGCCAAACAACTTATCGAAGCTAAGTATACTGAATATTTAAACAACATGCGTATGTCTATAAAAGAGAACCCCAAACGATTCTGGTCGTTTGTAAGAGCTAAATCTGCGAAGCCTGATACACCGGAGTTTGTCAACTTTTCCAACGTGTTTGCTTCGACCCCTGTCGATAAAGCTAATTTGTTTAACGTTTATTTTCAGTCTGTTTTTACAGCGACTGATAATGTATGCAGTAATAATGACTATGCAAATTTAGACTCCCACACGTCATTAACAAACATCACGCTATCTGAAAACGAAGTGCTTAACTGCCTACAAAATATTAATGTCTCGAAGGCAAGTGGTCCGGATGGTATACCAGGAAGACTTTTAAAAGCTATTGCAACCGAGATAACACCATCCCTGACTAAAGTTTTTAACTTATCGTTGTGTTCTGGAAAAGTGCCTTCAGCATGGAAAACAGCTCTTATAACTCCAATTCTAAAAGAGGGTAATCCCCATGTAGTGACAAATTATAGACTCATTTCCCTCTTATCGATTTTGTCGAAAGTCTTGGAGAGATGTATATATAATCATTGTTACGAGTTTATACAACATAAACTAACCTTCTATCAACATGGTTTCGTTCAAGGCAGAAATTGTGTTACCCAGCTCGTCCGATTTTATCATAAAATCCTTGAGGCTTTAGATAATGGGC